CAGCGGTGGCACTGTGCTGGGTAACCGCGCCGGTGAGGGGCTTCGACCTTAACACGCGACAAGCCGCACACAGTGCGTACCTCGCGGAAAATGGCCTTCGCCTCCGGCACGTTGGTGAGAACGAGGAGGGCGAGATTAAACCTTTCGCCCCTGCTGCTGTGCATTTTATGCACACCTTCAATGGGGAAGCCTTGAGATTTAAGGTCTTCCAGAATGTCTTCGTTTGCGAGTTCATAGGGAACTCCGCGGAGAACTGCGTTGACTTTCCTTTCTTCGGCGAGGGCGTATGTGTGGTAGGACACACGCTCGGCCGTGAATAGGCGGGTTATGTTACGGAATTATTCTATAGACGCCGGCATAATTTTGATGGCCTCACCGACATTAGTGGCTTGGTCGTATTTGAAACCCTTATCGTAGAGGGTTTTGGACAATTGAGTGAATTTCGCCTTGTCCGTGAGAAAGACAGGGGTCGGGACTTGGTTTTTGGCCAGCTCGGGAGCGCAGCGGGTTGCTGGTTTGGCGGTATTGTCTTTCGACTGTGAGGCGGCAGCGTTTGGAGCTGCGGAAGTAGGGGCAATGATGGGAGCTGCGGAGGTAGAGACAGCGGCGGAGGGTGTACGGGCGGCGGCGGCGGCGGCCGCTGGGGCGGGGGGAGTGCGGGAAGTCGGCGCGTTTCGGGCCGCGCTTTGATTTCACTAGCGTGAATGGGGCTGTGTCGGTTATAATTCCTTCGGAGTCAGTTGAATCCGAGGAGCCGGTGGAGCTGAGGGCGGACCTCTTCCGGGAGGAGGAGGTAACGGACGTGGTGTCCGAGTGCTCCATATCGGAGTCGGGGGTACGCGGGCGAGTCGGTCTGCGGGGCAGCCGCTTGGGTCGCGAGGAATGCCGCGACGGCGGGTGGGGGGACGCATGCCTTAGGGGCACGGGGGGTAAGATTGATCGAGAAGCTATCAAGGTCTACGCCTTGGGTTTTTAAAAATTGGTGGAAAAGAGCCAAAATTTGGCTAGCATCCATGGAAGACATGTTGGTCGGACGGGGGGGGGGGGGGAGACGATTTGATTCTTATGAAACTACAGGTCCCTGTTCTGAGAAGAACAGGGCCTTGGGGCAGATGGGGAGGACTAACGTTCTATTCCAGAAGCTAGGGTCCCTATGTTCAACGGCGTCTGCTCGGCCGGTGTTAGCCGGGGAGAGCGGGGCGCGCGGGCAAGCGGTTGCGCTATCGAAGGGTTGGAGGCGCGAAAGAACTGTATGCACGACCGCTCGGGGGCGGCGCGCAAACGACGTAAAGATAGCGACCCGGCTTATAAACCAACTTGAATTCATACGGCTGGAGGCGTAAAAGCATTCGTTGCAACCTTGCAGGAGCGCTTGCTAACGGTTTATTAATAATACTGACTAACGGTTTATGGTATGTTTCTATAGTAACGTCCGTGCGGCCGTAAATGTACGTGTAAAAATTTTCACAAGCAAAAACACATGCGTACCGCTCTTTTTCAATTTGCGCGTATGACTGCTCCGTTTTAGTTAGTGATTTAGAAGCATAACACACCGGTAACTCGTCTTGCATCAAACAGGCTCCTAATCCATTTTTACTTGCATCCACTGAAATTTTTACTGGTTTCTGTAAGCTATAATATTTTAAAAGTGGAGGTTTACTTAGACTTTCCTTTATTTCTTTAAAACATTGATCGTGATTACTATCCCAATGCCATGCTACATCTTTCTTTAACAGTTCACGCAACACAGATGTTTTTTCCGAAAAATTCGGTATGAATTTACTCACATACGTAAGTAAACTTAAGAACCGTTCGACGTCTTTTACCGTGGTTGGTTTAGGCATATTTCTTATAGCTAGTATGTGCGAATCATCCGGATACGTTCCATCCTTTGTTATTTTATGGCCCAAATATGTGAGTTCCGTTAACCCAATTTTACATTTTTTTAATTTAATTTAATATTAATTTCCCGACACCTTTGTAAAACCGACCGAAGTCTCTCATCGTGTGTTTTTTTAGAATTTGCATAGATTAACAAATCGTCTACAAATAAAATAACTCCTTCTATATCATCAAAATGCTCATACAATTTTTTGTGGAAAATTTCTGATGCCGACGATATACCGTATGGCATGCGCAAAAACTTGAATCGACCAAATACAATACTGAATGTACAAAGGTCTGTACTAGACTCATGAAGCTTTAACTGCCAAAATCCTTGCTTGGCATCGAGAGTACTAAAATATTTTGCCCCCGATAAATTGGCAGTTATTTCTTGCAGAGTAGGAAGCTATGTTCGCGCCTAATTGCCTTATTAAGGTCCCTAGGATCAAGACAGATTCGAAGGTCCCCATTAGGCTTCTTAACAACAGTCGTACTATTTACCCAGTCGGTGGGTCCCTCTACTTTTGCAATGATGCCCTGTTGCATTTCCATTAATTTATTTTTAATTTTGTCTTTAAGGGCTAGCGGTAATTTTCTCGGAGCATGTATTACGGGTTTAATATCATGTCTCACCTGAATTTTGTAATTTCCTGGCAAACATCCCATACCTACGAATACGTCGGAAAATTCATTTATTATTTCATTTTCTTTTTTCTCCCTAATAGAAAAAACTCTCTTTAGTAACTTTAATTCCTCACACGAGGTTCTGCCTAAAATAGAATTTTAGAATATTAAAATATAAACATCATTTTTATAATTAACTTTTAAGTTACATTTACCAATAACTTCAATATTATTGCCTGAATAACCTTGTAATTTTATTGCGGTACGTGCTAACTCTGATTCAGTAATATTAATTTTTTGAATATACTTCTTGGGCAAAACGTTCATATCGGCCCTAGTATCCAGCTTGAACATTAGAAAATTATTATTTATCTTTAACTTCACCAACCAGTCCTTACCGTAATTAATATTTACCTGATCGGTGGAGTCCTCCTTTACTTCATAAACTCTACACATCCGCGAATAATGATTCATCCGATGACATTTACGGCACTGCAGACCATAGGCGGGACAACTGTATTTCTCGTGTGACAAACCGCAGTTCCAACAACTGCGATCATACCTGGACGGGACGATGCACTTGCGCGTGCCCACTTTCATGCCGAGGGTGGGTTGAGGACTTAGAGGATCGCGGCATCCGCACACCTCCGCTGCCGGCGCCACGCGCTCGCTGCTGGTGCTGGTGGTGCGGAGGCGTGACACGTTGACGGTTCACCCAATTAATTTCTGCGTCACGTTCATCTTGCTCGGAATTACGTTTTATTTCATGCACGTGTTGGTCCGACTTCTCTGAATTTATATTGATGGCCTGGGCTCACGACATTTCGGCTACATTGCAAATTTCCACTGCTTTCTTTAACGTTAAGTCAGGATCCCTTAACAGCCTTTCTCTCATATATCCATCTCGTATACCACATATGAGTCTATCTCGTACCAAATCTTGACATAAATCTTTAAATTCGCATCTTGCCGCCATCTTGTTTAATTCGAAAACATATTGCTCGGTTGTCTCCATCTACCGTTGATCACGAGTGAAAAATATGTGTCGTGTCATCGTCACATTCTTTTGTGGAAGAAAAAATGTATCAAATTTCAAAAAATACTTCATTAATCGATTTAAATTCCTTTTTATTATTTTCCAATAATAGTTGTTCGTACACTTTCTGACATTTGTTTCCGATAATATGTAATAAAATGTTAATTTGTACTTTTTCATCCTTTTTTTTTTTAGTTCACACGCCTCGTAATATATCAAGAATGATTTTTTTCCATTTTTCCCATTCTTTGCATAATTTTCCCGAAGTCACATTTACTAAATTATTTTCGAAAATAAATGGCGGCGGTGGTTGTAATACAGATTCCATTGTCCGGACGATTGATTCAATTGCAGTTACGTTAGAATCTTCAACTTCTTCCTAAAATTCACTCTCACTTTTACAGTTCATCCAATTCAATGGGAAGTACTTATATATTATATTATTTGTAAAATTTGTGTACCGACTGCGCCGTGTTAATTTTGTATTGTTAGGATGCGGCAATCAAACACGGGAGTTGAGACAAGACTGTCTTTATTATACACCTGCATGCAAAATATTATAATTTATTTTCAAGATACCTACAATGGGTGGTTGGAAACGGATTATAAGGGCTGCGTTAAATTGACGAGAGATTTTTGTAATTTAGTACAAAGTCATTCCGAATTAATTGCCAGCGTTTATTCAGATTTAACGAATAACATGCATGAAGACAAATGGTTATGTGAAAGGGCGATTATTGCACCAAAAATGAGGGCGTTAACAAAATAAATACAGATATATTAAGCGAAGTAGTATGAGAAATAACAGAGTATTTGTCAGTAGACACAGTTACTGACACAGAACAGAGCACTTGATATCCCGTAGAGTTTCTAAATTCTCTAGAGTTGTCAGGTGTGCCTTCATATTAGCTTCAATTAAAATTAGGAGTCCCAGTCATGCTAATGCGAAATTTAGATGCTCCTCGGTTTTGTAACGGGACAAGGCTGCGTGTGCTACAATTTTGACAGGCGTAGGAAAAGGTGAAAATGTTATTATACCACGGATCCCTATAATTTCCACAGATCTTCCTTTTCAATTCAAAAGGTTGTAGTTCCCTATTAACCCAGATGTTACTGTAACTATTTTTTGTTTTCGATCTTAGTGATTTTCGGATATGACGAAGATGACTCATAATAACCAGGAATAATAGTAAAAAAAATTACATGTTTTCAGAAAAGCCGGAAAAGGGTGGGCTTTTAAATGTCCCGTCGTAATATGGGGATTGATTACATGTATGTGGCGGTCTAATAATAAAACAAACTGTTATTATATTAGTTTTTTATTATTACGGTAAATTTTAACTATACAAAAGAAAATAGACATAGGTATAGCAAGTTATGTGATATGATGTCTCACAATAAAACAACAGCACTTCACTAAGTATATCACACTAAAAGTCAGTAAAGTTCACTAACTTTACTGAGTTTTAGTGTGATATTCAAGGAAACAGTTCTTAGGATGTAAATGAATCTTACACTTTTGGCAAATAAAAAAACTTTTAACTTTGCAAACTTTGCATCTTAGTTGGGGAGCGCTGTACTGGACCAAGTGATCAACCCCATCATATCGAGATGATTCAAGATGAGATCTACCTGTGGGACATGGTCCTCTGTTATCGCTTTTTTTGTAGCTTTCGAGCAAACCTTTCGCCAGTAGTCTACGAAAAGTGAGATGATCATGTTCTCCACCGTCTCGCTTGTAAAGTTGCCATGCATTATGCACAGCTATATCTAAGGTGTGACAAAACAGTGAAAAATACCATTTCTTGCCACGAATAGAAGTCAAAGTAGAAGTCAGGTAAGGATCAAACCAAATCACGTAGCCTAATCTGGTAGCACCAACCCACAGTTTATACCCCCAACGAATTGGTTTGCCACGTATAAACTGTTTGCAACTGTGACGTCCATAGTATCGAACCATAGCCTCATCTATGCTGTAGTTCTCTTCTAGCGGAGCCATTTCAGTAAAGATTTTATTTAACTCGTCAAACAGAGGTCTCAACTTAGCGAATTTGTCAGGAGAATCAGCAAGAACTGTGTTATCACAGCAGTGGAGATTTGACATAATAAAAGTAAAACGATCTCTTGACATAGCGTTGTGCACAATCCTAAAGTCGGCATCTGTCGATGTCTCCCAATACATAAACCTACGGGGTACTACTACATACCCGCTGTACAGAAGGATGCCCAAGAAACACTTCATTTCAGAAACAGTTACTTTGCCCACTTTATTCCTCTGTCCTGCATACAAATTGGTATATCGCACTAGTGATTCAATAACATTGTTGTTGAACAAGCAGTCGAAATAATATAAGGGTGATTGTAAGTTTTTTGGACCTTGTTCGTCATTCCATTGATTGAAATGGTTTGGAATATGACGATTCTTCCATCTATAGGTTTGATTTCGGGGAACTGTAGGCTGAACAAATTTAGAATTAGTTGACACATCTGAAGTACAAGAAGGTACGGCGTCACTATCTTCTAAAGTCAAATCCATCGTGCGTCTTCTTTTTGACAAACTTGACAAAGGTACATCATCTTCTTCGTCGGAACTCATATGAAAAGTGACCTCGGCTGGAGCTCGTAGTTGAGAGCCTATAAAAAACAGATATAAATATTGCAACCATATAAATAAAACAAGATAGAATCATTGATACGTAGTTATATCAACCCGAAAACAAATATTTTACCCGGTAGATTTTGCAATGCAACAAATTCTTCATCTCCAGAATCCTCATCTGTGACGTCGGCATTAGCGTTCTCAGGTGGAAAAATTGTAATTTGAGTTGGCAACAAATCATCATCCTCACATCGCTCTAATTCATCAACTATATCGTTGAGATTGAGTGCTCTCAAAGGTCGCGTGCTAAAAAGAAAACAATAATATTATAGACCCCCATATTGCGACGGGACTTTTAAAAGGCCATCAATTTGAAACGTGAAAAAGGAATGAGTTTTTGTTGCACCAAAACAAATAGATAACCTGATATTGTAGATAATATATCTAAAATTAAATATCAAAATGTATTAGCAACGACATCCAGATATATAAATGATAAAAGCTTACCTTTGTCCAGACATTATGACACTAATACTCCTAAGTCTTCAATGACACAAAAACTTTAAATAAACAAGTGTCTAGTTGTAAACAACACCGCATGAAATCATACACGGATAGGTACTAAGTAACCTGACAGTGCAAATATGGATTGAAAAGTACTCGGCCTAACCAAGAAAATAAACACATACTAAATCAGTTATATTTTTATTTTTCTACATAATCACCATCAACTTCAATACACTTTTGCCACCTCCCCTTCCAAGCATTTAGACCGTTGAAAAAAAAGATTCTCCCTTAGAGTCAAAATATGCGTCTACAGCTGCTTTGACCTCATCGTTTGTCGAAAATCTTTGACCTCCCAAGTGCTTTTTTAGGTTAGGGAACAGAAAGAAGTCTGATGGTGCCAGATCAGGTGAATACGGCCAATGCGGTAACAGTTCAAAGCCACAGTTGTGAATTTCAGCCATTGACTGTACTGACGTGTGAACACGGGCGTTATCTTGATGAAACAGGACTTTTCTTCTGAGCATTCCTCGACGTTTTTCTTTTATTTCCTCTCGTAAACGAGAGAGAACGTAGTAAGGTGCAGTAGTAATCAGAGTTTATATACTGACCCCTTTCAAGATAATCAATCATAATCACACCTTTCGAGTCCCAGAATACTGAAGCCATCACCTTATTTGCCGACAAAATCGACTTAGCCTTTTTAGGGGGTGGTGAACCAGGTCTTCTCCACTGTTTTGATTGTTGTTTTGTTTTCGGTGTACAGTAATGAACCCATGTTTCGTCCATAGTAACAAAACGATTCAAAAAAATCATCTGCATCGGCTTCAAATAACTCCAAACAGTCGCGTGAAATAGTCAATCGCGTCCTTTTTTTGTTCAACTGAAAGCAGTCGGGGAACCCACCTCGCAGACACCTTGTGGAAACCCAACTCGTTGACAATGATGTTTTGAGTTCGTTCATAAGAGATGCCTATAATCTCGGCTATCTCTCTAATTTTTAATCTGCGGTCTCCCATTATTAAATCAAGTACTTTTTTAATATTTTCGTCAGTAGTTGACGTCGAAGGCCTTCCAGAGCGGGGTTCATCTTTCACACTCTCTCTACCATGCTTAAATTCTGCTATCCATTTTTTGACGGATGAATATGACAGAGCACAATCGCCTAATGTACTGACCATGTCATCATAGATGGCTTTTGATGATAGCCCCTTCTTATGGAGGTACTTAATGACGGCACGCTGCTCGATTTGCTCCATTCGCGGAAATTATGTCCGATTACTTTGTTAATAAATTTATAAAATCACAACTAATTATCGCACACGTTTCGAACTTCACACAATGAACTAGTCTGAACTGAAGTAAATAATGTGGGTAGATTTGATTTTTAGAATTGAATGGATCTGTGTTAGGCCGAGTACTTTTCAATCCACCCTCGTATATGGAAATTAATATGTTATGCTACTATTCGTAATTAACTCTGAATGCTCCGTTATAAATATTAGCGTTTATGTACATCTTCTCCTACAATTAACTAACTATAATGAAAGCTAAATCCTTTAATAACTCTATTGAATTTATTAACAGTATACTTTTGGAGAGTGTAAATATTTTTACTGCATTATTTACTCTTAATATTTGTTGTTTTTGCTTAATAACCTAAACTTACCGTTTTATTTCATTTTTTACATTATATAGGTAAACAATAATGCCACACATATTTAGTCTATGAAATGAATTTATTTTTTGTATATCTGGAGTTGGTACAAATTCAGTTAATAATATCGGTAAAGCAAAAAAGGCTTATTTATATTTTGTAGACAATTATATATTTTAAGTAGTTATAAAAATATTTCAAAACAAAATATATTTGCATTTCAACAACCACAATCAAAGTATTTAAGGTACACTATTATTTTAGTAATAAAATCACTTTAAAAGTATTAAAATTTTAAAGTGTAAAATCAGTCTTATAACAAAATAAACAAAAAAATACCACTTATAAAAACAAATGTTTGCGCTCCTACAAATATTATTAAGTTGACTATAAAAGTAACTATAAAAGTAACAATGATTCGCCCTTAGACAATTCTAGCACCTATCACAAAAATTCTACAGTTATCACAAAATAGTTGTAAATAGGCACGTAATTTTGATTTTACATTATTGCCTATTAAATTAATTAACAGACAACTATTAATATGCAACAAATAATTTTGTTCTCCTCGAATATCAAGTCAGTCTTATGAAACCTTTTCTATTATTACAAGGATTGATACAATTATTGTAGGAGTTATTAGAACTAAAAACTATTAACCTTCATCCGATGTATTAAAAATTTATAAATTAGGTGTTTTTTTTTCATTTTGCATTATCAAATTTCTACAAAACCCTTGGTAATGCAATGGTATAGCATTGGTATCGCATAAACTTATTAAATCTTTATATAAAGCATTCGAAATTGGTAGGCATTTGTCACAAGCGGGCATGAGTTAATTTGAACTCTGAGGGCTATATTTGTTTTACATGTACGTGATGAGATACTATTCGTAGTGTCTAAAACCAAGTAATCATGATTTTCAAAATTGTACTTAAAAATAACTTGTTTGGTGTCTCAGAACATGCTTTAACTTCTTTTATTTTTGAGCAAAGGGCTTTATTTCCGTTTGTATCGTGAATCCAGTTTTAATGGATGTTACTTTAGATTTAAAATTGTAAAAATTAGCCTGTGTCATTTCATTATCAATAAATTTATTTTGAATTTTCGCATTCATTATTATTTCATATAATTGATCGGGTGTATATAGTGTTTTATTTTTCATATTTTTTCTATGCAGGCATGCGTTAAATCGCCTTCATTTTGTATATCCTGTCTGTAAAAATCGGTGAATAATTTCTAAGTGTAATTAATGTACGTGAAACAAATAGATACATCGAAAAAACAAATCTATTTCTATTCTGGCCAGAACAAGTGTCGGAGTATAACAAAAGAGAGTTTATGCCTATACAAGCTTCCGCTTCAAAAAATTTATACAAGCAACTTGCGATTTCATTAGCACCTCTTTTTACAATTTGTGCATGCCATAAGAAACAATAACCCTGTCATGAATTTAAATTATATATAGTAAAATTATATGCTAGGTATTTTCTGTTATAATGGAAAATACCCACATTTGACTGAGGCAGACTTAGTACCTTCTCCAAATCAAACACAGGTACAGTTTTTAATTTTGGGTCTGCTGAATCTTTTTCTTTATTTCTCTAACAATATTCTTATTTTTAATATGACTTTTGTACAGCTTCTGGAGCTGCAGTTTGGCCTCGTCCGTTTTTTTTTCATATTCACTGCATATTTTACAAATATTCTTTTTTGGTCTGAAAAAAGAAAGGTTAAACTGCGTATTAAATATTTGACTATATTGGTATTCATTTGCAACTTTTATATTTTGAAAGTTTTCGTTTTCTGAAATCCAGACTTTATAAATATAACCGGTGCATTTTTGAAATATTGAAGTCCTGTTCGTTACAAAGTTAGTTAACAATACCTGTTAGTTAACAATATTTATATCCCAAAGATATAAATATTGTTGGGTTGTTTTTTGCCGTAAGTAGTGGGACTCAATACAGGGGAATGATTTTATATGTTGTATAACACTTCGCTCGGTGACATTTGTTGTTCTATGAGGCCGGTTTGCTTGCTTACCCCGTAGATCTGTTATTTGTTTGCCATTATTATACTTATTAATGACCGTTTAAACAGTTCTTTCTTTAATACCAAGCGTGTTTAAGAACATTATTTTACAAACTTTGATTTTTGTTACGTGTCCTACATTATTTTTCATTGGCAAATAATATATCAAAGTTCGATTTCTTTCCCGTTGTCTCTGTCACTTTAGGTTGCCTAATTTCTGTGTTATTCAAAATAAAATGCCACTGATTCTTACGAGAGCCAGCCCAAAACTATTCAAATAAGTTTAGTCTATCTTCATGTTGAATAGTTTCAAAACACTTCAGCTTACAGGCGCAAGGATCTCTTATACATTTTTGTGGCTGTGCGCCTATATTTCGAAGTTTCTTTGTTTTTACTTTTATTCACGTGTCCATGTTTCGTCGTCTTTTTCTAGGTTTGTAGTTACCCTCAGTCACTAATAATGGCTGAGACACAGTTGCTTCTATTTCCGGAGCTGCGACTATATTATTTTCTGATTTGATGGGAGGTGTTGGAAGGTTAATTACATTAGCTGAAGCGACAGATGTAGAGCTACATAGAAGAATTGGGGCAGTAATTGTTTCCTCGTGGTCGTTATTGGATATTGACTCTAGGACAATTTCATTTGGCAAAGGTGCAATACCGTCAATGTAAGGCTCTTCTAAATTATAATAATGGTTGATGTTTTTATCTTGGTTTAGCCTTTTACAGGAGTTGTTATCTATTTCTGGTCTAATGGTTATGGTATTAGTAGTAGGTATTAACTTTTGAGGACTTGGTAAAAAAATAACTGTCGGTGAAGGTGACGGTAAGAGTGACAACCTAGTACATAGTCCACTATATTATCTCTTTTCTCGCTAAAGTATCAAAATGCAGATGCGTTGTTACTCCCGGATTTTATGTTTAGAACGCCACGTTACCGGTAAGTTAGGCATCCAGTTCTTTTAACTCACCTTAAGAAAGGCAGCATCATTATGCAGCTGCTTCACATTTTCACACTGGTATAAGGTAAGATATTCTCGTATTTTTTGTAAGTTATTAAGCTCTCCCTCTTCGGATTCCGTGCGACTTGGTTGTGCTAACAGTTTCTGTGTGAATTGCTAAATTGAATTAATTACACATTAAAAATTTGACATACAAAAAATCTAACCGAGTATACTACGACAACATAAGAAGACAGCGGGTGTCACTGTGGAGGATCCACCCATTTTGTCAGGATGACGTGACCATGCTACGGATCTACACCCACCCTGCGTGAATGAGACCGCGCTAGTAAAATCTGGAGACATCTAGTTACAACTACGCCCGACTTACGGTTAACCTCACAACACAATAGAACATACTTATTTAGAAAATTACCCGCTCCTGCGCCGGTCCCCTACTAATGCTCCACCCACTATTGTCTAGCGGAATCGACGAGTATAAGCTTGTAACCCACATAGGAAATTATTTGCCGATTCATTTATTTCCAAATAGGCCGACACCGCCATTTCGCTGCAACGGACGTCTCCTTTTCAATCCCCGGTACCGGAAATAAATCTAACTCATATGCCACAGTATTCTTCTGACCCTACTTTAAATCAGGTTATAAATAATAGAGAAGGATTCCCAACGCTCGGTGTTAATATCATTCAATGAAACAAACAGCCAAGAGAGGAAGTTTCATCGCCCACTCAGCTCGCTGTTTTTAAAGACGATATAAAATAATTAATTAATTCACTCATTAGCGCTAATAATAAGAAACTTTCAACAATAAATAGCAAATTGCAGGAGATAACCGAATCAAATGCTAAAATTGACGCAATTGTTTCATTTTTAGTCGCTCAAAACGAGTAGTACCGCGGCAAAATGGCACTCCTAGAAAAGTAGGCACAAAAAGACTGGAAATACAACTAAATACTAGAAGACAAAGTTGAAGACCTGCACATAACCTCCCGTAAGACCTGCGTAGAAATTAAAAATGTTCCTAAAAAGTCCATTAAACTATGGAAGACCTGATATAAATGGTTGCAAACCTTCCGAAGACAATTCATCTTGATATGGACGACCGTGATATTAACGATATACACCGTCTGAAATCAAAGGTTATCCTGGTACTAAGGTCCGCAATTCTGAGATCAGATTTCCTAAAAAAAGTGAAAGAATTTAATTTAAAATACAAGTCACGACTGCAGCCCAAACATTTGGGATCCACTAGAAACGAAGACACATCTATCTTCAAAGCTGAGCATCTTACGTCCAAGGTTACCTCGTGTTTGCATGTCTTGGCCGGAATCTAAGAAGGCTCAAAAATTCAAATAGTGCTGGACCTCTATGGGGAATGTTCTAGTCCGGAAAGATGACACGTCTAAAATAATCGACATTTAACAACAAGCACAATTGCAACAACTAATGCAAGAACAATGAATAACTATATGCAGATTTTTCCTAAAAACATAAATTGTTTTATTTGTTTAACTTTAACTGAATACCAAATATTTTCGAGAAATTGTTAAATACCTATCATACAACAAAACACACCATCGCAACCACCAATTTTTCACCACACACATACCTCAAATTCACTTTCAACACATATCAGAACGCAAACATTACGTTACTTACTTACTTTCACGCCACCAATTACCATTATCACACAAGGGCACACTTATACTATACTGACTACAAGTACACAACACTCTATAAATCAGTTATTTCTATAGAACTTTACATTGGACAACTTGGACATACACACTAATACTTCACACGATCTAACCTACTATTATTAGTACAACCTAAACACCCTTTATTATGAATGGATAGTTTTGACACGCTAAAAGATATTGATTAAATTAAACTCTCAGAATCACTCAATTACAACATTCAGGACCTGAAAATAAAGACTAAAAATTCTACATATAATTAAACTATTTTAACCCTCTGGCACCACTAAAATTTGAAATAGATTTTTTAATTCTTACAGAATGTTGGCTACAGTCTAACAAAAACATACCGCAATTACAGAATTATACATCCTTTCAAACTAAAAAATATTATTAACCGAAGTAACGGGGTAGTAGCATACACTAAATATAAACTATCAGTAAAATTTAAAGAACTAAACTGTGGCGGCGCTGTAGTCGCGCCGCAAGCGAAACACACCGAAGCTTAAATCACGCTATCAACATTCCGAATCATAAACAGCATATATAGAACATCTCCGAACTATCACACGGAGTGTGAGCCGCTCCCCGGGCAGAACACCTTGCCCGGCGGGAGATCTCCCCTCTTTCCTTATACGGCCACAGTGGTGACTAACCGACGTGATCTGAACACGCAACCAAACACCTTTGGAAACTACAACTTCAAGCTTTCGTCATTATCCTCAAGAACCCCTACCATTCACTATTGAGAATCGTCTTCTGCAGTCTTCAGTTCCTGCAAGCCAGTCCAACTTGTCTTCATCTCGACTCACCGCAGATTTATAAGGCAGACTTCTGGCACTTGCTCCGGCACATCGTTCTCACCGGCATCACTTGCCAGTGCGTAGTACGACATGCATTACACATCGGCATATTATTCGCACTGGTGTCACTTGCCCTTACGCACACAGCATGCATTCCCCACCGGCATTAAAAGGACACACCGGCAATCGGACTGCACTATCGACCTCCGGTCTGAGCAGGTGGGTGATGTGGCGGCGCTGTCATCGCGCCGCAAGCGAAACACACCGAAGCTTAAATCACGCTATCAACATTCCGAATCATAAACAGCATATATAGAACATCTCCGAACTATCACACGGAGTGTGAGCCGCTCCCCGGGCAGAACACCTTGCCCGGCGGGAGATCTCCCCTTTTCCTTCCACGGCCACAAAACTTTCAAAATGCCATCAGAATTGAATTGTTAATCTCTAACTATACTATATTGGGTATTTACCGTTCTCCATCATTTTTAAATGCAGGAAATTACATCAAATCTCTCATTCACCTTGAAAATCTAAACCCTTGTAAAATGTTTTGATTTTTGGTGACATTAACATTGATTTTATTATTTCTCCAACTTACACAAATCAAGAAAGATCAAACAGATTAAATAATTTAAATATATCTTTGTATGGACTTTTCTCGTCTCATACTTTACCTACGGGGGTTGGCTGTCTTGACCACGTGTTATTGAGACTTGACAAAAAGTACAATATAACCTTCACTGCTGCATTAAATTCAACTGCAACTAACCATTGCACTATTATTTTAGCAATTGCAAACATCATCATCAACAAACGAGTCTTCAAAGATATAAAACTGTAGTTGACTATAGTAATGCCTACAAGAGTTTAACAAATATCGATGTGATAAACACAGGTGCTTTGCGGTGTATTAGACTGAGGAATCCTATTTACCTAAAACTTATATCAAACCCCAAAATCAAATTTTAATTATAACATATAGACGTTATCGTAATTTCTGTGGGAACCTTATAAAAAAACTAAAATTAAAATGTAATAAAGAAAAATTAAAGCATCAGTAGAAAACCCTCGAGCTCTTTCGTGAATCATTAACAAAATAACCCACCACAAGCCACCCGAGTGGCCAAATGATGACCTTAATATAAAATCTTGTCCTCAAACCTCAATTAACTATGTAAAGTAATACTTTGTCAACATTGGGCACATATTAGCTGAGAACATCTAAAATAATTTTATATCTTCGGAAATTACTAACACTAACAACCATCATAATTTGTCCCCTTCCGTTTTACTAGACGCATCTCGCAAAGAAGTGGAAAATACTTTGATGTCCTTAGACTCTAGGAATGCACCAGGTTGGGACGGAATCCAAATTGTTTTCAAAGGACTTCAGTTCACACCTCTACTATTATAGTGCTTATGCGTCAAAAAGACCTTCTATAATAATGCTTTTGTATCATAGAACTTACTATTATATTATGTCCTTAATATATGGAACTTCAACCCATAACTCAACTATTATAATACTTATTCGTCATAGAAGCCTTCTATTATAATGTTTTGTATCGTAGACCATACTATCATAAGTCTTCAATATATGGGACTTAAACCCACAACTCTACTTTCATAATGCTTATGCATAAAAGAGACATTCTATAGTAATGCTTTTGTATCATAAATAGACCTTACTAGCATAAGTCTTTAACATATGGGACTTCAACGCACAACCAAAGTATTGTAATGCTTATTTATGCAACATAGAGACCTATAATAATGCTTTAGTATAATATACCTTACTATCATAAGTCCCTAATATACAACTACACAACATAGTACTGTAACTGTTGCGTAGTTGTATACTGTATGTAACTGTAACTGTAAGTAAGTAGTCGGTTACCCGACCACCCCATACATATTAAGTACACCCTTGGGTACACGTCTCCGGTAGCTCCCCCATACAAGCAATCTTTACACGAACTCTCTCCATAACTTAATTTTCTTGTACGCAAACACGCTCAATGACTTAATAAATTTTCTTATACACGAACTCTCTCGATGTCGGGAACTGTTCTACCGTGTATGGATACTTACTGAACACTTAGGATTAGTTTAGCTGAATAGCTGATGCTCGATAATATTTGACTTTGAGTGGTTGTCACTCAGGTCACGGTACATAAGGGCGTACCTAAAGCACCCTGCTGCTCGCTTGTCACTCAATTTCAACACTCAAGAGGATACTCGAACGGCCCTTATTTCATCAAACGTATTTTTTATTGTTTTCTGTCAGATAATCAATGAACAAGAAAACAAATATTTGTTTGTGATAAAAAAATAAAATAAGGATAAAAATCGAGCAGAAATTCCACCTGGCATATAGAAACTTACTTTTAACCTGGATTAAGAATCTAAATGTAGCTCTGTTACCACTCCTGGGGAGTAAGAATATTTCGTAACCAGTAAGATAGGTCTTTGGTTTTCTACACTCATAATTCTAAACAGCAGCATTAAACTGCTGTTTTACTCTCGTATTCTGTGAGTGCGTATTGTTATTCCGGTCTAATTAAAACATTATAATACTACTATTATATTATAGTTGCACCGTGACACATCGTGGAAAAAGTAAATGTGGTGGAGCGACGAGCCTAAGGTTACAGAAGTCCGATTCCCCGGTCGAGCCTTGAGCATATTACGCGAGATGTTAAACCCAAATGGAGTGTATATGCGAAATGCTTCTTTGTTTACACAAAATGGCGACTATAGCACGCGGTTTCCCATACAATGCACTCGCTCTTCCTTAAACGAACTATTATTTGCCAAATCTATGAAAGGAATTCTGCTTGATTAGGAGAAAATGAAAATTGGAGCGGATTAACTATTAAACACAATTATATCAAGCAGGAACTAGTGGGAATGTTCACTCACCGGGGTGTTGCACTGTGCTGCGACCTCTGGAAGACACTCTGGGGCCCCAGAGGTGCTTTCTTGTCCGGTGACGCGTCGGGGAGAGTGCGGTGCGCGACTATTTCTCACACGGGGTGAGGCGGGTTTCCTGGAGCTCGACTGCTTGCTTCCAGACTAAAACGGTTATACTAGCGGTGCGCGTGGGCAATAGCCCTTCTATGACACTATTGTCTTAAGCGGTGTAGTTCCAACGACGAGCGCGACGGGAAAGAGACTGCGCGTCGGCCGCGCGTGCCTTTTATTCCTTCGGTTGCGATGATCGCGTGATATTCTAGAATCATCTTCTTTCCTCTCCCACCCCACCACCCCCGATGTGCTGATAGGAGGGTATGAATGTTATCGTTTGGAAAGGGATAAACGATTTAGCAAGAATGCCGTCAAATATAAATAAAATACGAATGGTTTCCCGCGCAACCATCTCCCTCGCCCTTGAAGGATTTCCTTTAAATAACTAAACCAACTAGAGCTAAGATCAAACTGACAAATAACTAACTAACGCTAAGATTACCTAAATGCAACTACAGTCTCTAATCTAGAAAGCTAATTTAAATTATGGAAGAGGCACAAACGGACAACAGGACGCATGTAAGACCCAACCGTGGTCTTAACGCGAGCTATCCTAATTACTCCGTCGGAACCGGGAAAGACCTCTTCGACAATTCCTAACGGCCCATGGAGAGGCGGCGTATTCTCTTTGGTGAGCACAACCACAGTTCCTACAGTTAAAGGCTCAGTTGCTGTGTTCCATTTTTGCCGAGACTGCAAAGTATGTAAGTATTCCATCCTCCATCGTTTCCAAAACGATTGCACTAACCGGTCTAATAATTTGTGGCGTGCGGAAATGCTAAGTCTGTTCTCATCCATATCTACGGCGGGCAAATACTTTAAAGGCATTAAATTCAAAAAATGTGCTGGAGTTAGAGCCAGCGGCTCCGAAGGGTCACTAGACAACGTACGACAAAGTGGGCGACTATTCATTACGCACTCAATTTGAGCGAGCACAGTACTTAGCTCTTCGAAGGACAAAATTTGATCTCCTATTACTCGGTATAAGTGACTCTTTAGACTCTTAATATTAGTCTCCCAATTGCCCCCAAAATGACTCGCGACTGGGAGGTTCAGAGACCACTCGATGCGGTTCTCGGCTAGAATGTGAGCGAACTCCGAATTATAATACTTGCTAGCTAAGAGCTCATGTAGTTCCGATAAAATACGTTTTG